AGTATATAAATATACGAGATTGATATTTTTCTCGAGTTGATGTGTATGAACACGCGGGTATGTGCTGCACCGCAGCAGCAGCAGCTCCGCAAAAGAGGTAAATATAGGAGAGAGAGAGAGAGAGAGAGAGAGAAAAAAAAGGAAAGAATCCTCGAGCAAAAATTCGTAAACGTTATGATGGGCTGCGCGCGCGATTTCTGCTCTGCGCGTTGTCGAGATAGCAATTCTCGATCTCGATCTCGATCTCCGACGCTGCTGCTGCTGCGCGGACGAATGCCAATGTCACTGGTGACGCAAGCGCACCTTGCCCATGACAGCTTTTTGCGCTGCGCGCGCGTCCCCCTTCGGGAGCCCTCCCTTCGCGCGAGTCGAGTTCGCACAGTCGACGCGAATGTTTGCGGTAAAAAGTGTGATCCATGATGGACACTTATAAACAAGATTCTATTATAAATCATGCATACGCGTTGAATCGAATTAGTTGTTATCGTCAAATCTTAATCAGGGTAGGACTTGACTTGCACCATTCAAAAAGTATAAATAGTATATTCAATCTGCATTTTTAATGAGACGATCTATTTATATCAATCGGACTCTAAAGGCTACAGTAATACCCCATAAATTTAGCTTTTTCTCCGATTCATGTATATGCGTGCGGGACTTTTTTTTCTCTTTCTCGCCGCATCCTTCCTCGTTTTCAATTCGTGGCACAGACTGTATGTGGCGATCGAGCTCGCAAGACACCAAAGACGCCCGCGTAAAGTGCTTTTCAGTGTGCGAGCTACTCTCCGCATGCATATTCGATTCGCCGCGCACTGTGCTTCCCAATCTCATTTACCGAGGCTTTGATTATTTTCAAAAAATAATTGTCGCATCCCAAACGAGTCGCGTCGCCGCCGTCGAGCTCGCCTCGTGTGTAGGATACACTATAATACCGCTAGTTCTCGCGCGCGCATACGCCGAATTCCTCGATCTTTGGAATTTTTCGATCGCGCGCCCCATACCATTTTTTTTTTTTTTTTGGAAGAGAATCGTAAGACGAAAATTTATGAAACGCGCCGAAACGACCGAGCAAATTTCGTGTGTCACGTGACAAATTGCGAATGCAGGCACAGAGCGCAAGAACTAAACGAACGGAAGGAATGAATGAGAGGAAGATATGCGGGGGAAAAAATATATGCCCAGCGTCAATAATTTTAATATTTACACGCGAACGAATACAAAGTGGCGCTCGCGATTTGAATCATACGCGCTCATTAAGGCCTTGCTGCATGCAGCGAGCGCACCGCACTGCGCCGAGATCGCTTCTCGGCGTGGCGCGCGGCACTGCGCGGATTTTTCGTCGATCGCCACTATAGCTCGCTATTAATCAGCTGCGAGAGAGGCCCGCTTTTTTTCTTACTCTCTTATAGTACCCAGCACAATAACAACAGCAACATATTACACACACGCAGTTGCATTATGAAAATTTTTTCTCTCCGTAACATCAGGCCTATAAATAAAAAGTCGCCAACTACCTGCGTCGCAGCGCTCGATACTCCCCGTCTTTTAATTTTTTTTTTTGGGTCTTTTATCCGAAATTCGCCGCTGCACCTCGCGAAATATTATAATAAGAATATTTTTTCTTCTTCTTCTTCGTCTCGTTATACGGCTCGAGAGCCTGTCGTTTCAAAAAATAAGCATTATATACGCATGCAGCCGCGTGGAGCGAGTGCGTGTAATATATTTGCGCTTGTGTACAGCGAGTCGCGTACCTATACATACACGAGATTACTTTAAAGCTTTACAGCTAATAATTCTGCTCGCCGAGTCGTGTATATCGTTACTCATACGATAATGACGTAAAAAAGGCCCCCGCGCGACACAAAATAATTCCGCGTCTTTGAGCTATACAGGGGGATAAATCCGCGCGTGTATGTATAATACTCGGATATATATACGGCTAAACTCTCACGAGGAAATAAGAAAGCTCGAATTGATTTCCGTTTTAATCTAGCCTTGTGTATCGATATATAAGATTTTCGCCCCTCTGGTATATAGGTACGTATGCGTCGGGAAAATACACATACCACGAGACAGAGAGAGGACGGTAATTGGCGACAGCCAGCCGTCGTAGATACTCGGTGCCTCTCTTTCCTCGATCGGAAGCAAGAAATAGAGAGAGAGAGAGGGCCCCCCCGTAATTATAATGCCGTTTAGAAGTAGATATACATATAAATGCATCGGCGTCATTGCCACTGTGCACACTGTGACAATATTAGCGAGAAAATTTCGCGATCTTTCCTGTATATATGTACCATTGCTACATGTCTATATAACTGCTACTGCACGTAACGAGGTGTGTACGTGCGCCTCGTGCAGCAGCGAATTTGACATTCAATTATCGGGTTGTGTGCGCGCGCGCGCGTGGGCGGCTTTTTATACATACGGCGTATATAAAAGCACACATCGTTTGTTCCGTCCCTCTCTTATAGCCTCCCTCTCACTCTTTCTCTGCTGCTGCTGCTGCAGCATGCGCGACATGAAAAGAGACGCGAAACGCCGTCGTCGTCGCGCATGCGGTATATATATACACCTGAGCGACAGTACAATGAGTATGTGCTCGCTTTATATATACGAGAGAAAGAGAGAGTGAGAGATTCGTCGAATTACGTAAGTCATCTCTTGTGGCGTTTTCGAGGCCTGTTATAATGCACACACACACAGAGATACACACATGCCTTCATTAGAGGCGCGAAAAGAGACATTTACCTTTTTTGTTTATCTTTGAAAGTCGTCGTCGTCGTATATATATGCGCGCGGGCCTGACACTGCACTGCATTGCATCGCATGCGCACATATTATATACTGTCTAGATGCAAGACGTCTTCTTTTTGCTGCGCTGCACGCCTCTCGTTTATATACCTTTATTATAATATGCGCCCTTTTTTATAATAATGCAAGGCGAGCGCGCGCGCGCGCAGAAAGAGAAAACAAATAATAATATGCACGTCGCCAGGTTGTTGCTGCTGCAACTCTCCTCGCAGCTGAATTATTTCGAGATCGTTGCAGAAAATTTTCGATGATTAATGTCGAGCGAGCGCGTTTACGACTCTATACGCAAGAACGAGAATCAAAAATTACGCAAAAAGGAGACACACACATCCGCGCATGCACGACGGGGCGGCTCTTTATTCGGAAGAAAAATCGCGACAACGAACGAACGAACAACAACGAACGAACGCGAGTGTCGCAGGCGCGGGTGCCCGTCGTCGCGTTCGCGGGACCTTGAAAAATCGCAAATACAAAGACACGTATAAGGAGCGAGCACAAGGTGCTACATGATAAATATATAAACGTACGTTTCGCGTGTATTGTACACAGATATATGTATGTACGAGAGCTTTCTTTTTTTTCTGCGCAGAGAGTTGAAATAATGAGACGTTTCTCTCTGTGCACTCGTGTCATCGATGCTGCTGCCGCTGCACGTGGTGCACTTTAGCGCTTTCGTCGCGTATTATATACATACATGCATGCATTGCCCACCCTGTCACAATAAACAAGACGCAAACGTCTAAATGCTCAAGGATGCGAGAGCTCGAGAAAAGAGAGAGAAACGGATCGTTTATCATCATCCATTTATATATTTCGGTATTGTATGTTATATGATTTCGTGCGCGGATCACTGGGTTGTTTTTGAATATATAACGTAAATAAATAAACCTTTTGTTCGCGGGATCGACATTCCATTCCCTAATTGCCCTGCGAATTTTTGTGCGTTGGCGAGACTCTGAAATCGTTACTCGTTATCCTATTTCACCGATTCGCTGCGATAATCGCTTTTATCGGTTTTTAATTGTGGACCGATAATGCGCGTTCAAGTGGGTACTTTTTTTTTAGATTAAATCCCATAAAGCTGTATGAAAAATCAGTTCGTTGTTTACGTAGACGACTCATCGGATAATTGGATAATTTTCACGTATCAAAACGTTTATACACAAACGCACGTACACAAGCACGCAGAGCCTCGTGCTGTGACTGTGCGTTGTACCATGTACTGATACTCTACATACACATACGTACACGATCGCACGAAAAAAAACGCGCATTAACGACAGTGTAAAAGATATAGAGAAAATGAAAAAAAAAGAAATCCTAAAGCCCAACGAAAGGAAGAGTGTTTCTCGATGTACACATTATACTTGCGGATAAGAGCGGCGTTCGGACCTGCGCGTCGTCGTCGTCGCCGTCGCCACCGACACTGTAAGGCTGCAGTTGTGCGTTTGGCCACGCCGAGTATAATTGGTGCCATTGGAAATGCAGCGAAGTTAACGAACGGGAGTCACAGAGCCGTCGATATTTGCACAATAATTAGACGCGATCGTCGCGACAACAACGGCAGCTTATCGTGCGCGCATCCCGACGACGAAGGGGTGATTTTGCAATCGTATAGACTTTGCATACGGACGCCGACTCGTCGCAGAAAAATCATCCGTGACGGGATTTTGTTATTAAAGTAAAAGTGTAAAACATTTAATTGTAAGCAGCGGTAAGTCATGTTTCCAGTGCATGCATTGGGCGAAAGAACTGTCAAGAGTAATATAAAGTCGATCAATAAACATAAAAATGATTTTTGTAAGAAAAAACTTTTTTTTAGCAGATATTTTTTGTCAATAAACATTTCAACCACTTTGAACAACAATGAATAAAAAAACATAAAAAAAAAATAAGGAAGAGCCTTGACACGCCTCTAGGCTACTGAACATTATTTGTATTTATGTAAAAAAATGAGTTAAAGGTTCTTCACAATTACAAGAAAATTAATAACAGTTTGGAATACTTTATTGATCTAAAAGAAAATAAATTATGTTTCTATAAAAGATTTCTTTAGAAAAACACTAGCAAGAACGATTACAATTACGTAATGCATTTATGGGAACTTTGAGATCCCTTTTTTTGTCCAAAAGATTTCCGACAAATCTTACTTTAGAAGGGTTTGTTACAAATATGCCTTTTTCCAAATAATCCATGACAAATCTCAGATTCGAAAGGTTGGCTACGATCATGTACCAAACATATGTGCTTATTTAGGTCACTCTTGACGTTTACACACCCCAAAGGTTTGCTACGAATATAAACTGCATTTATGTGACTTTTGCGGTTTTGTTTTTCTCCAAATAATTTGTGACAAATCTCACATTCGAAGGGTTTGCTTCCAATTATGTACTGTACTTGTGTGAGTTTTAAGTTGAACCTTTCGTCCAAATGATTTGTGGCAAATTTTAATTTCAAAGGGTTTGCTACGTTCATGTACTGTATTCAAGTGTTTGTTACAATTACTGAAAATTATCTGAAAAAGATTTGTGACAAATTTTTCATTCGATGAGTTTGCCCTGGTTATGTACCATCGTTATGTGTCTTTTGAGGGAATATTTTTGTCCAAACGATTTATGACAAATGTCACAATCAAAGGGTTTGCTCTGATCATGCACTGTAGTTATGTGAGATTTAAGGTGGCTCTGGTATCCAAATGATTTGTGACAAATATCACATTTGATAGGAGTGCCAAGATTATGAGCTTTTAATTTGTGGCTTTTGAGTACGTTCTGGTATCCAAATAATTTGTGACAAATTTCACATTCGAAGGGTTTGATACGATAATGTACTAAACGTATGTGCTTATTCAGGTCACTCTTATATCCAAATGATTTGTGACAAATTTCACATTCAAAAGGTTTTCTATGTTCATGTACTGCGTTGAAGTGACGTTTGAGGGTACGGTTTTCTCCAAATGATTTATGACAAATTTTACATTCGAAGGGTTTGCTACGATCATGTACTGAATTTACATGAATTTTAAGATAATCTTTCCGTCCAAATGATTTGTGACAAATGTCACATTCAAAAGATTTGATACGTTCATATACTGAATTCACATGAGTTTTAAGATTATCTTTCTGTCCAAATGATTCATGACAAATTTCACACGCAAAAGGTTTGTAATGTGAATTACACTTGAAAGGTTTTTTATGTGAACTTACTTCATTCATGTGAGTTTTAAGGGTGAATTGTAAAGGATTTTCTGATCTATTAAGTTGCTTTTTTTGCTTAAATGATTTTTGATAAAATTCATATTCGAGCGGTTTGCCGAGAACATGTACTCCGTTGATGTACGTTTTGGTGACATTTTTGGATCCAAGTGACTTATGACTGACCTCATATTCAAATGGTATAATTCTCTTATGTGTGTTATTGGCATATGTTTTTCTACCTAAATTATACTCGTGGAATAATTTGCTTCGAATGTTTTCGTCTAATATTTTTACCTTCTTAAATTTATCAACTTTCAATTGGGAATAGACTTGAAATTGACGATTATTGTGATAATCAACATTTTTTTTTATCAAAATTATAAGATTTTTTTCATTCAAGTAATTAGTCTGAATTTGATTTTCTATTTTAAAAATTAGCGGATTACTCTGATACTCATTTTGGCAGGTGGTTGTTGATAAATACGTCAGTTGAGGTTTAACATCTTTGCACTCAAATTCTATGGATATTTTTTCATCTAACTTCTCGTTCAACACTACAGCCTCGTTCAAGTGACTTGCCTAGGATATAATTTTTTTATTGGTTTTACATAGTTTAAAATTAGATCACAATTAAAACTATTGAACTCACCGATGGTTTATAAAACGTCGAATTTTCTAAGTTTTTGACTTCGACCGCATCGAAAGTATAATCGTCACCTGCACTCGGCCAATTATCGATCTCTTGCTTCACCCTGAAGAATTATCGAGTTTGATGAAGCAATCGTTTTAATAAATATTATGGAATAAACAAAAAATAATAATACCTAGCTATGTCCTCGTTGTTTTCCATTACTCGATATATTGTGTATTCACTGTGAATATGCACGACTTGCACTGAGAAAATATTCGAGGTTATATGCCTCGTGTAGCCAACACCGAACCTCGATATCACTAATTTGTAAACACTTGCTTACTGCAGGAATTCTTCGACATCGACTGTACGCACTAGTCGTATATTAGCGAGTCGACCCCGCGATTGTGATAGCTGCTGCTTGGCACCCCCTCTATCGTCGAGCATCGATACACAGTAATGTACCGTGATTATAGAGGCACTCGTCGCGTGTCGTTAAAATAACATCGAAATTTGATTCATTCGGCCTCATAATGTACGATCTTTGCGGAAAACCATTAAAAAATCCATCTTGGGTATTCGTAATGGATATAGTACGTATCAACTTTTCGTCGGCGACTGCTCGATTAATTAATCGGCTATTTCTCTTGGTCAAAGTTAAATTTTTGTTATTATTGCAATCAGCAAGACGCACATTTTCACTCGCGTTATTTCTTCGGTCGCGCGCTTAAATCGAATTTCGAGGAAAATTGCCAATGTACCGATTTAAAAGAGAACGCGTACCATTGGATAGGATAATTCCATCGACCATTGTACGCCGCGAGTGCTCGTTTTCTAATCGATTCCTTTGCTGCACACGTGTATAGCTGTAAAATTAGATTATGCTCCACTCGTCGAGTGCAAAATATCGGCGTCTAAATATGCATAAATAAATAGTCGGTAATTAATCAACGCGCGGACTGAATTATGCGTTGCATACCGCGCGAGATGTTTAATACCGAGTCGTGCAGTGCGCGGTAGCCGCACGCCGTAAACACTCGCCTCCGAGCCGAGGCCCGCATCGCATGCATCCCCTTCGCGCGCCGATCGTATGAGTTCTCCTAATCCAGACTCCGACGCGATTGCGCTCGTTCTTCAAGTTCAATGCCTCGCGCTCTCGCTGTATGATAGAGGGAGAGAAGCCCGGTTATGCAGCAGCAGCACGGACCGCGTTATAATATAATACGAAATGATTCGTGAGTAACGGTCCCAGAGCCCGAAACATTAATCAATCGATCGAGCTCGCGAGCGAGCGGCCCATATTATAACTATCTCTCTTTTCTCTCTCTCTCTCCCACGCGGTGAATTTATATCGTCGGTCGTTAGGAAGGAATTACTCGGAGTATTATTGGCAAACTATTGGCTGCTGATTTAGCTCGATGCGAAAATAATAATTCCGCATAACCGTCGTATCGTTGTGTTTTATAAGAAATTTAATTTCCCAACGAGTTCGCGGTAGTACACGAGCATAATATGTGGTCAATTCTATGAAAAATCCTTAAAATTCAAATCTACGATTGTGATTCAAATTAATAATCCATTGTTAGAAAAATGTTTATTAGACTAATTAGACATAAGATACATAATGTTATTTCTTCATTGACATAATTATAATGACCTAGTCTTGCTTTGTTACATTGATAAACTCGAAATGATTGTCGAGAAAAATTTGCGAAGAGCATATCGAGTTGTGCCTGTTGTTTATGTAGAGCGTCGCGTGTATGACCTTTCCATGTCGCCCGGCCCGCGGTGTTTTGTCGCACACACCTTATAATAGCGCTGCACTACACGGAGAGTTGTAGTGTCGAGCCAGTCGCACATAACCTGGAATTTTTAGCAGACACAGTTTTCCAAAATATAGCGATCACAGCACATAGCAGTCCTCGCCAGTATTTTCATGAACAGTTGATTTGATGTGTGAAATCATCTCAGAGAGATTGATCCTAGACAAAATTCTAAGTAAAAAGTATGGAATCCAGTGATAATCTTAATTTTGCTTGTGTAAGAGTTAAAGAGGAACCTATTGATGCGCCGTTTATTGAAAATAATGATGAATTGAGTGACGAGAAACCTGATTTCAAAAACTTTCGGCTCTTACCGTTTCCACAAGGAAAATCAGTAAGTGTTCATAATTATCTTCAAGTAACTCGTGTTGCAATTTTATGAAACTTTTATTTAATTTTTCAACAGACTCTTATCCTTCCAAAATGTGAAGAAATTCATGAAAATAAACTTGATGACGAAGTGGAAATAGTTGTTGAATGTGAAGATGTGAAATCCAATATTGATTTATCAGTAGTTAAAAAAATTGACGATGATTCGCTAGACCACTTGTGGAATGTAAAAGATAGCAATGGTTCTGAATCTCAAAACAATATTGAAATAGAAACTACGGGGGAAGCGAAACAAGAATTTTCTGGTGGCGCCGCAGCAGATTTAGATTTGAATTTCGACTGTGCACTTGTCGAACAAAATAATAAAAGGAGAAGTACAAACAAATTGAACGATCAACGTAACCTCAAAAAAAACATCGATAAGTTGCATAATGATAAAGCCCACGGATGTGAAATATGCGGAAAGAAATTGTCATCAAAGGGTCATCTCAAAGTCCACATTCAAACATTGCACAATGGTGTTAGGCATACATGCGATATTTGCGGAAAGAAATTCTCAACAAATAGTAATCTCAAAATACATATCAAAAGCACGCATAACGGTGTCCTTCATACATGCGATTCATGCGGAAAGACATTTCAAACTATGAGAAGTCTCAAAATCCACATTAATGCGGCACATAATTATGTCACTTATTCATGCGACACATGCGAAAAGTCATATTCGTACAAGTATCATCTCAAAACCCATATCGATACAGTCCATGGTGGCATCAAAAAAGCATGTGATATATGCGGAAAGGAATTTGCAAATTGGGGTAATCTCAAAAAACATATCAGTGAGTTACATAATAAAGTCAGATACGCATGTGTTACATGCGGAAAGACATATGTACGAGAAGTTTATCTCAAAACTCACATTGACGCAGTTCATAATGGTATCAAAAATGAATGCGATATGTGCGGAAAGAAATTTGCCGGACAGGGAAATCTCAAAGCCCATATTAATACGTTGCATCATGACGTTAAGTATACATGTGATATTTGCAAAAAGACCTTCACGACGAAGAATTATCTCAAAGTTCACATTGATTCAGTGCACAATTGTATCACTCATGTATGTGATATATGCGGAAAGAAATTTGCATTTGAGGCTAATCTCAAAAAACATATCAGTGAGTTACATAATAAAGTCAGATATGCATGTGTTACATGCGGAAAGACATATGTACGAGAAGTTTATCTCAAAACTCACATTGACGCAGTTCATAATGGTATCAAAAATGAATGCGATATGTGCGGAAAGAAATTTGCCGGACAGGGAAATCTCAAAGCCCATATTAATACGTTGCATTATGACGTCAAGTATACATGCGATATTTGCAAAAAGACCTTCACGACGAAGAGTTATCTCAAAGTTCACATTGATTCAGTGCACAATTGTATCACTCATGTATGTGATATATGCGGAAAGAAATTTTCATTTGAGGCTAATCTCAAAAAACACATCAATAAGTTGCATAGTAATGTCAAATATGCATGCGTCACACGTGGAAAGACATATGCACAAAAAGGTTATCTCAAAACCCACATCGACTCAGTTCATAATGGTATCACAAATGAATACGATTTGTGCAGAAAGAAATTTTGGTACACGGAGGAATCTCAAAGTCCATATTAATACGATGCATAATGATGTCACTTATGCTTGCGATACATGCAGTAACACATATAAATAAAAAAAACCTATCTTTAAGCTCACATTGAGTTAGTGCATCAATTACCCGTTACAATTTATTGAATGGATAAAAGTGAATTTGTGTTTGGATGACTAATATCAATTTTTCTCATTCTGTAAAAACATTATTAATTTTCAAGCTAATAAAATGATAATTTCCTCAATTTTGTAATGTTAGACTTTTTAGCGTGCTTCGATCGCCCCAATTTTCCTCGTTTTTTTGTCATTTTCTCACGTTTCTGGAACTTCGATCCTTTGTGAATATCAAGTGACAACAATTTCAATCGCGATTATGGTCTCGAATTTTAAGAATTTTTTTAAAGCATTGCTCAAAGAGAAACAATCTTCTACGACACAACTCGAAACTCTATTTCTCGACACCTTGCCGGGTGCACATATGATCATGATTCGCTCGTTATAAATACGATGCATATAAGTGTGGTCGCGCGTCAAAAGCATAGTCACGACCCAAGTTGCGCCGTATGCACACGAGGTGTACTACGAGAGGAGGCATCATCTCTCATATAGGCTCTCTCTCTCTCTTTCTCTCTCCGTATGTGTATAATATTCAACGTGACTTTATACTCGTATTATATGTATCATAGATCACACTTACACAGCTGCACTCGGATCGTATGTATATGATGCAGCATTATACAGTGGCTGGGGCCACAACTCATATATGCAACGTACACCACATAGAGAAGGACGAGGCGCGAGAGAGCAATCGCCAAGGAGAGAAAAGCGTTATTATCTCGAATTCACAGTGTGCACCCGATGGCTCTCCCGAAGTCTGCTGTTGCTGCTGCTGCACAGCTCACGAGTAGCGCGCGATAAGCTCCTGCCTATGCACGGGCACTGGTGTGCACTTCACAATTATCATCACCTCCTCGCTATATAGCGTCTCGGCTGGGTATATACAGGGTGCGACAAAAGTATGGAAACCCCTGGAAATATCGCAGAGTATTCGTTAAAAAAAAATCAAAGACCCTATATCGGACGTATTTTTCGACGAGGAATCCGATGGTGACCTTGAATTTGACCTTGAACATAACCTTAAAGCTGCAGCGACTCAAAAATCAATTTTTCAAATGTAACCCCCATTTTTTATTGCAGATTTGAAAAGAGCGAAAAATTTCACGTCAAAATGTATGTTTTGTTTTTTTTAAAGACCATTTTAAGGGTGCTACAGGCTCAAATAAAACCCCGATTTAACCTAACATTAAGCTCGAAAGAACTTCATTTTCTAACTGTAGCGCCCCCAAAAATGGTCTTTACAAAAAAAAACAAAACATACATTTTAACGTGAAATTTTCCGCTCTTTTCAAATCTGCAATAAAAAATGGGGGTTACATTTGAAAAATTGATTTTTGAGTCGCTGCAGCTTTGAGGTTATGTTTAAGGTCAAATTCAAGGTCACCATCGGATTCCTCGTCGAAAAATACGTCG